GAAATTTGGGAATTTGGGAGCTTGGAAATTTGGAAATTTGGAAATTTGGAAATTTGAGAATTTGGAAATTTGGAAATTTGGAAATTTGGAAATTTGAGAATTTGGAAATTTGGGAGTTTGGAAATTTGGAAATTTGGAAATTTGAGAATTTGGAAATTTGGGAGTTTGGAAATTTGGAAATTTGGAAATTTGAGAATTTGGAAATTTGGGAGTTTGGAAATTTGGAAATTTGGAAATTTGAGAATTTGGAAATTTGGAAATTTCAGAATTTGGAAATTTGAAAATTTGGATGTTTGGAAATTTGAGAGTTTGGTGAATTTGAAAATTTGAAAATTTGAAAATTTAGGAATTTGGAAATTTGAACGCCAAAATACAACAACTGTCCACAGAAGTCCCTCAAAAATATTTCCAAAAGATTCTAAAACCAACCAAAATTCTACCCAAATTCCAGAAAAAACAATATTTCGAAAATATCCAGCAACCAGTGAATTCCACTTACAAGCACATTCTGTACCCACAGAGTGGAATAATGGTTGTCCACCTTTCATGGCCGCGACGCTAGCGTAGTAGATGCACGTAGAGTATATTTTATCCATTTCGCTGTGAACTTTTTTTCCCCTCTTTTGGTGCACATAGGAAATTACACGAAAGAAGTTCCTAGAACTTCTCGAACACGTCACGAGCAAACTTCATTCGTATTCACGACGTTCGACCGGAATCACGGCGACGGGACTCCATTCTCCGTGGTTTTTCCCTTATATACAGGGTGCTCCATAAAGTACAATGCTAACTGGTGATTCTATAGCTAAAAGCTAGTTTAAAACGTGCAATAACATTTTTTTCTATGGAGCACGGTTTTCGAGAAAATCGAGTTTGAATATTTTACTCGGGTAGGCAATTAACTGAGCTAGTTGCATTTTAGTTAAACTCTTTTGATTTAGTGTCATTAGGTACGGTGGTAGTTTAAATAAGGGTAGTTTAAATCTTTTTAAGTCTGATATAATAATATTGAGTAACTGTGTTATTTAACGAAAGGATTTTTATTCGTTTGATTATGTACTCGTTTAACATGGCGGAGTTTGTAATATTTTGCTGCAGCTAAAAATTAATCTCAACGTGTTAAACTTAAGTGTAAAAATTAGAGTGAGTCAAAGTATTTTAAAAGGTTCTAAAATTACAGTTCGAAGAAAGAATACACTTAACCTCGATTTTCTCAAAAATTTCGGAAAAAGACATACACTCTTCAACGTATCCCGGTTTTGCGATTTACGGAGCACCCCGTATGCCGCGTCCCTCGCAGTAAAACCTCGCGATAAAAGCGGGGTCCTTTCTTTCCGCCCCAAGTAACATGGCTGAAAGTCGTC